GCATTCGACATCCAAATACATGCTTTATGATTTTTCCTGTTATTTTTTGTCGAGTCTGCGACTTTTGTAGCAGAAAGCTCGACATAGGGGTAGTGATCCGGCGGCGGCGGCGGCGTTAGCTAACTTCTTAAAAGCTTTATATTTTAGAAGCTAGAAGACCTGGATGCTTCATACTTTGTATATAGATGCCTTATGTTACGAAGTTTCGGTCTGTCATATGTCCATTGTCCTTGACCTCATTTTCATGGTTCAGTGACTACTTGAAATAAAAGTCAACATTTTTTGAAATGTTAATTTCTATCTTATTATGAGTAATAGGATAACTATATTTAGTATGTGCGTACCTTGCAAGGTCCTCATGCCCGTCAGACAATTTTCATTTGACCTCGACCTCATTTCATGGATCAGTGAACAATGTTAAATTTTCGTGGTCAAGTCCATATATCAGATACTATAAGCAGTAGGTCTACTATATTTGGTATATGGAATGATTGTAAGGTGTACATGTCCAACTGGTAGGTGTCATCTGACCTTGACCTCATTTTCATGGTTCAGTGGTCAAAGTTAAGTTTTGAAATTTTGGTCTTTTTTTCTAATACTATAAGCAATAGGTCAACTATAAATGGCGTATGGAAATATTTTATGAAGTACATATCAGTCTCACAGGTTTTATTTGACCTTGACCTCATTTTCACGGTTCATTTCTCAGTGTTAAGTTTTTGTGTTTTGGTCTGTTTTCGTCAACTATAAGCAATAGATCAACTATATTTGATGAATGGAAGGATTGTAAGGCGTATATGTCAGTCTGGCAGGTATCATCTGACCTTGACCTCATTTTCATGGTTCATTGGTCAATGTTAAGTTTTCTTGTTTAAGACTGTTTCTTAGAAACAATAAGCAATAGGTCAACTATGTTTGGTTTATTGAATGATTGTAAGGTGTACATGTATTTCTCGTTTGGTTTATCTGACCTTGACCTCATTTTCTTGGATCATGTTAAGTGTATGTGTTACTTGTAGTAAAGCTTTGTATTTAGGACTATCAACATAAAATCAATGGTTAGTAAAGAAGGCGAGACATTTCAGCGTGTGCACTCTTGTTTCAAATGGCGAATTAGCTAAGTCATTTGAAAAAGTGCCATTAAATTTTCTTATAGTCCATAAACACATTTCACATTTTCATCTTGTTCAAACGTCGCAGGAATTCTCACATGTATACTAGGTCTTCTACAAAATATCCCCATTTGGTGTCGATCAGATAAAAAAAAATGCCGCTTTAGACAATCTTCATCTGATTGGCAACTTTTAAAATCCCTTAAACTACAGGCGAAATGTTTTGAAACTTTTGGGATTTGATGATTAGATGACCTTCTATAAACTATTATTTAATATTGATCGGATAGCAAACTAGCGGGCTTGGTGGGACATAGTTTCCATTGATATCGGTGTAAGATATCATTTTCATCTGAATTTTCTGAATGTACTTTGCATATTTTAAACCACATGGGAGGAATGATATGTGAAAGGCACCTACTCTTCTGATGACCCCCATTTGGTCCAATCGGATGAAAAATATGACCGCCAGAGGTAATCTTAGATAATGATTCTGATTAATTTAAGAAACTGGAATGCGTAAATATTAATAACTTTAGGGGGATTGACAAAGGATCACCTCTAAATATTGATCAGAATGCAAGCATAGAGACATTGTTTTGAATCTGTAGAGTAATTTAGTAATCGGAAACTAATTAATTTGTCAGAATATATCTTCTTTAGCAATAAAAGGTTAATTTTACCAGTCTGGCTCCTAGGAGTTTAATTATTAATTTCTTATGTCATTTATGAGTTTTGTTTGACTTTCATAACTTTTTAGATGCACGTTTCTGGTGAAGATTTCATCAAAAACATCAAATGCAACAAACTCCGTTGTTTGATGTTTGGATTTCTGCACTTTGGTTAGGTGTAATAGAAGACGTACCAATATGACAGTTTGGTAAGAATTGGGTAGACTACCAATCTGACAGTTTGGTAAGAATTGGGTAGACTACCAATATGACAGTTTGGTAAGAATTGGGTAGACTACCAATATGACAGTTTGGTAAGAATTGGGTAGACTACCAATATGACATTTTGGTAAGAATTGGGTAGACTACCAATATGACAGTTTGGTAAGAATTGGGTAGACTACCAATATGACATTTTGGTAAGAATTGGGTAGACTACCAATATGACAGTTTGGTAAGAATTGGGTAGACTACCAATATGACAGTTTGGTAAGAATTGGGTAGACGACCAATATGACATTTTGGTAAGAATTGGGTAGACTACCAATTATGATTTCTCATTTACCAGTACTACTTTCAAATTGGCATAGAATAGAAAATTTGTCAGTACAATCTTTATTGAAAAAGCTTTTATAAAGAACTGGTATGAAATAAGAGACGCACGACACAGAGAATACAGAATCCTCAGTACCTATTTAAATTTTAAAAACAACTTAGATGAATTTAGCTATTCTGTTTCTATCCTTTTTGGTCATAAACTAGTAGCTCTTAACGTTTCAGTGTATTTACGCTTCATTGGCTTTCATTTGGTTAGGATTGAGCGTTCCCCAAAAAGGTAAATCCAGAAAAGCGCTTCGAACACAATAAATTGATATAGTTTTATTTCATTTAACAGAGAAAAATATTTAAATTCTCAAATCTTTAGGCATCGCTTTAATTTCTGTATATTTACAATAAGTGCGCCAGTCTCCGTGAAAAAATCATATTATGAAAAAAATTAAAATGAGGGTAAATTTGTTAAATTAAAAAGGAATATGAGAATTTGTCAGGTATGTTACTCAGGAAAAATCGGAGGTGAAATACATTTTATTTGTAATTGTCCAAAAATAAACCAAACCTAGAAAGGTACTTTTTACAGAAATGATAAAACATAGTGTAAACAATTTGAGAAAAAAAATTAACAGCAGAAGGTTATTTAAATTTATAATGAAAACGCAAATAATCAGTAATACGGAACATGGATGTTTAAATATATCATGATATTTTCACTGGTTTTTATGGGGTTCGTGTTGCTCAGTCTTTAGTTTTCTGTGTTGTGTTTTGTATACTGTTGTTTGTCTTTTGGTCTTTTGGTCTTTTTTTCCCATGATTTTGTGAGTTATTTTCGACTTATGAGTTTGAATGTCCCATTGGTATCTTACGCCTCTCTTCTTTGACATGCATTACACATATAGTAATGCTGACAGTTCTATATTTATGATTAGGTTAAAAAATTATACAATCAATAAAATCCCTAACAGAACTGAAATGTTTGCTTTAGATCTGCAGCAAAGGAGGGACGAAAGATACCAGAGGGACAGTCAAACTCATAGATCGAAAACAAACTGACAACGCCATGGCCAAAAATAAAAAGACAAACAGACAAATAATAGTACAGATGACACAACATAGAAAACTAGAGACTAAGCAACACGAACCCCACCAAAAACTGGGGGTGATCTCAGGTGCTCCGGAAGGGTAAGCAGATCCTGCTCCACATGTGGCACCCGTCGTGTTGCTTATGTTATTACAAATCCGGTAAATAGTATCATTCGGTAGGTCACATTCGTGAAAAGGGAAGGGTATTGTATAGTTACGACATAAGGAACATATCCGATATCATCTGTGAAACGGTTATTCCATAACGGTCAACCAACTCGTGATGGCGTCCGTAAAATTTACGAAGGGATGATTTCAACTTCATCATTTCACCATCAGCAAACCATCAACATGATCTAGCACCAAATTTAAAAAAAACGCTTCCAGGAAGTTACCAGTAGGCATGTTCAGTCATTATTGTATAATTCTTGCCATGGTATTGCGAACATATTGAATGGTCAAAGATTTATTGCAATCTATCTGCAAATATTCCAGATATTTTGTTTTATTAAAGTTCTTCGCGATCATAATTGATTCTGCAAACTTGCAGCAGGTTTGCAACAAAAAGCTGCAACGTTTATAGAAAGGTTTCAGCTAGCTTCATGCAAACATCGACAAACTTTATTTTAAGACTGCCTTGAAACCTTTTTGTTTACACCAAACCTTCAGCAGGTTTGTAAAATGCTTTATCTGAGAGATAAGGGGCCCTTTGATCTGTATGGGATATTTAAATGTGTAATTTTGTATGTATAAATTATTCCTGTAACAAGTACTGTCTGACAAAAAAACTACCTGATCTGTTTGGATTTTGTAACTTGTTACATTTTATGTTTTTATAAAAAATCAGGTTAAACATTGTAATGATACCAACGTAGCTTTATGCACAAAATGCATTTTAAACATAAACTTTTATATTTTTATATACATTCAATCATGTTTAAGCACTTCACCAAATACAAAAACATTATATTTTAAAAGATATTTAGTAATACTTGGATAAAATTTGCAACAGATAATGTACTTGAACTACTGTATCATGTGTATGCATGTGACCTAGCTTTTTAAAATTTGGTGTATTAATTGAATAAAGTGATGTGTAGACACACATAATCATGACTTTGATATACTATATAAAGTATAACTTTATTGCAAAACATAAAACCCTGGCGGGTTAAAATGCAAACATAGTACATTGTATACACAAGTGACAAGAAACATAATACATGTTTGTTGATGTGGTTCATAAGTGTTTCTCGTTTCTCGTTTTTTATATAGATTAGACCGTTGGTTTTCCCGTTTGAATGGTTTTACACTAGTAATTTTTTGGGGCCCTTTATAGCTTACTGTTCGGTGTGAGCCAAGGCTCCTTGTTGAAGACCGTACTGTGACCTATAATGGTTTACTTTCATAAATTTTTACTTGGATGGAGAGTTGTCTCATTGGCACTCATACCACATCTTCTTATATCTATTTAAACAAGTCAAGTTGATATTAATAATATATATATATATATATATTGTAATTTGTGCAGATCCTTCAATTTTCAGCGACAGAAAACTCGCACGATTTAAATTAATTTGCAACAAACACTCATTTCCAAAAATGGTAAACGTTTTGCTGCAGACTTGCTTATTTATGATACAGTTACTATATATGTGTCTTTATATACCGATCCTTCACTCAAATTTCTGGATCTGGTAAAAAAAAACGCAACCCTTTTCTTACATAGCTTCGAGACGATATTTTTAAAAACATACATATATAAATATACTGAGTGTATTCAGTCCATATACATATATTTTTTTTTACCTGTGTTCTCTGACCGCTTTAAGATAAGTGTATTTTATCTGTGTAAAACTTAATCCATCACCGTTATGGCTGGAAGTGTACGAGCACCTGTTGTTTTTGTTATAAGTTCTTTAAACGAGCTAGCTGTCGTTGCAAGGAAATGTTTGCCTGCAGCCAATATCACTAGTATTACTCCAGTACAACCAGGTTTGTTTGATAAATGGCGATACAAAGTTTTTAAGGACATCGGTGTAAAAAATCCGTATTGTTTGTTCCGGTAGCAAATATTTTCAAAGTATTGTCATACTGGTCACACAACTATCCTTGAAAGAAAGTAAAGAACAATTTTTGCGTGCATTAAATGCACATTCATGATTATTTAGTCCTCATTACCAAATTATATAAAAGAATATTATTTTAAAATCTACATAAATGAAGATATGTTTTTGCTTTTTTTTAGACTACCATCGACTGTTTAATTCAACTGGATATTCCCCTGAAATATGTATGATTCTCGGAATGTTTTTAATTTTTCCTATTACATTTGAAATCCTGGTGTAGCATTTATACTGATATTTTTTTTTGTCAATGACTCAACATTCGATGATTAAAAGATCTAATTCAAAGATTGTCACAGTCCAAATAATTATGACGTTTTGAAAGACTATTTAAATTTTTTGCTTTGACGACTTCCTACGTAATATAGCCTTTCAGGACGTCATAATTATTGGACTACTAGTACCATCGGCTTACCGTAGTTATATTTTAACCATAACATCCGAAATGAAAATAACAATATTTGCAGTTTTTGTCGAGCCTGCGACTTCTGTCGTAGAAAGCGAGACATAGGGAAAGTGATCTAGCGGCGGCGTCGTCGGCGGCGACGGTGTCGTTAACTAACTACTTTGAAGCTTAATATTAATTACAATAATAATAAATACAATATTTATAGAGCGCATCATTATATAATAACAACAATTACTCTAAGCGCTTCACATTTAAAATAAAATAAAATACAAAAATACATAAAACATAAATTACAAAGCTAACTAATACGAATCAAACAAGCATATAAAGATTTAGAAATAAGAAATAAAAAGAAATAAAAAATGAAAAATGCATGTCCCCTAAAATATACAAAACAGTCTAAAATTAATGCAGTCAATTAAAAGTATATATATAAAATCTACAAGAAATCCTTAAAAGCAGTTCGAAATAAGTGAGTCTTGAGTTTCTTTTTAAAAACATCTAAAGAATTTACACTCCGACGATGGTAAACTGTTCCAGAGTGTAGGCGCGGCCTTGTCAAAACGCCTCTCGCCGTAGCTTTTCGTTCGGACGTCATTTGGAGGATGTAAGAGCATACTGTTTTTCGACCTGAGGGATCTATTGGGTAACTAGGGAGCACACTAGTGTTTTACAGGCTTCAACCGAAATTAAAGATCGAATTCGACCAATGTTCCGAATTTAGTAAAAACAAACCTTAGTGATCGCACTGGCTTGATGTTCCATACTGATGGTTTTATCAAAGTACATTCCCAGATTTTTCACACAAGAAACGTCGCTTAACAAAGTTCCCTCAAATGTCAGACGGAAATCGGAAAGATGCTTCAATTGATGTTTGGGTACAAAGATTATTAATTCTGTTTTGTCTTCATTAAGTTTCAGCATGTTGGCACTCATCCAATCACCAATATCAGACAAACATTTTTCTAGGCGTTTGGACAGATCGCACCAGTCGCCTTGCGGTCTTATGATTAATTTTCGATAAACCTGAGTATCGTCTGCGTACGAATGGTATGACATTCCGTGGCGCCTGCAAATTTCACCTAATGGTTTTGCGAAAATACAATACAGTTCCGGCCCTAAGACCGAGCCCTGCGGTACACCAAAATCGAGTTTGATATCGTCAGATTGTACTGATCCTATAGCAACACGTTGGGTTCTGTTCATAAGATACGATTGTAACCATAGCAAAGCATCTCCGGTAACGCCAAAGGAATATTCAAAACGATTAAAAAAAAAGAATCTGATGGTCAATGGTATCAAAAGCGACCGATAGATCGAGCATGAGCAAAACGGCACAACAGTTATTATCCAGTTTATATATAGGCAATATCGTGATGAACACGTATTTTAGCAATTCAAAATGTGAAAAGGTCTGTGCGTGTTTGGACCGCTTCACTTCAAGATTTGATTTGTGGATGACGGCTACACCACCACCTGTCTTTCCTTTTCTCGAAATTTGGTGAATACTGTATCCATTTGCAGTAATTCGGAGATTACAGGTTTGTCAATTGAAGTTCCTAGCCAGGTTTCAGTCAGTGCCAGTATATCTGCATCACTTGAAAGCATAAAATCACAGATCGAAGTCGATTTGTTCTTTACGGATCTTGCATTTAGCGAACTGAGAGAAATTCTATCAATGGTTTGACTAATAGCTATTCGCGGAATCTTTCGAAGATATGATGTAACACGGGCGAATGTTTCATGAGTGTCCTCGTCAGGTCTAAATCGAATGAGAGTCTTGATAGGCTGTGTATCGATACTATTAACAGTGAAGATAGATGAACATTGTGGTGTTATATGTATCGAATTGTTATGGGAAATAGTTCCTCTGAAGGAATGATAAGCACACGAAACCCTGTTTGATGTCACAACAGTGCGGATCGATCGGAAAATATTTCTTCCGGCTTTTGTCCCTCGTCTCGTCTTTTGGGTAGATTTCACAACGCACGTACTGTATTGTGAAATATTTTTACATGTAATCCACGGATGGTTGAATACTTGAGCCGTAGATAAAAATAGACTAACAGGTTGTAATGAGTTCATGGCTGATTGATCACAATAAAAGTATGTTGACAAAATGTATACGGTCTCTAATAATGTTATTTCTTGCTGAATTGTTTAAATAAAATAGTCACTGATGGAATATAACACTATTTACTATAGAGACAAAATGTGGGAAGAAACACTATAAAGTCACAGAAATAGCAAAAATATCACTTACGTTGTGGGAGCTGCCATTAGCGCTAACCACTCATTTCTACCTAGAAATATTTCAGAAGGTAGACGACCTGTGTGCTTCATACTTTGTATATAGAAACCTTATGTTATGAAGTTTCCGTCTGTCATATGTCCATTTTCCTTGACCTCATTTTCATGGTTCAGTGACTACTTGAAAAAAAGTTAAGATTTTTTGCAATGTTAATTTCTCTCTTAGTATAAGTAATATGATAACTATTTAGTATGTGCGTACCTTACAAGGTCCCCGTGTCTGTCACTTGACCTCGACCTCATGTCATGGATCAATAACAAGGTAAAGTTTTCGTGGTCAAGTCCATTTCTCAGATACTATAAGAATAGGTCTGCTATATTTGGTGTATGAAATGATTGTAAGATGTACATGTCCAGCTGACAGGTGCCATCTGACCTTGACCTCATTGTCATGGTTCAGTGGTAAAAGTTAAGTTTTAGTGTTTTGATCTGTTTTTCTAATACTGCAATAGGTCAACTATATTTGGTGTATGGAAATATTTTACGAGTACATGTCAGTCTGGAAGGTTTTATTTTAACTTGACCTCATTTTCAAGGTTCATTGCTCAATGTTAAATTTATGAGTTTTGGTCTGTCTTTTTTAAACTTTAAGCAATGGGTCAACTATATTTGGTGTATGGAATGATTGTATGGTGTATGTGTCTGTCTGGCAGATATCATCTGACCTTGACCTCATTTTCATGGTTCATTGGTCAATGTTAAGTTTTCCTGGTTTAGTTTGTTTCGTAGATACTAAAAGCAATAGGTCAACTGTATTTGCATGATGTATGGAATGATTGTTATGTGTAAATGTCTGTCAGGCAGGGTTTATCTGACCTTGACCTCATTTTCATGGTTCATTAATCAATGTCGATATAAAAATAAGGAGATGTGGTATGATTGCCAATGAGACAACTATCTACCAAAGTGAAAATGAAGTGGACGTAAGCAATTATAGACAACCGGCTTTCAACAATGAGAAAACCCCATACCGTATAGTCGGCTATAAAAGGACCCGACATGAAAAATATGAAACAATTCAATTGAGAAAACTAACGGCCTTATTTATTACAAAACAATTTACGAAAAACAAATATGACCGACATGAACCAACGACAACCGCTGAACTACAGGCTCCAGACTTGGGACAGGCACATAAAGAATGTGGCGGGGGTTAAACATGTTTGTGAGTGCTCAACCCTCCTAACCTGGGACAGTGGTGTAACAACACAACATAAGAACAAACTATAAAAATCAGCTGAAAAAAGGCTAAGCTCATCAGATCGATACAAAGAAAACATCAAACGAAAGCACAGACAGGACATGGCAGGGTATATATAATATCTAAGTTTGCCTGATTAAGTTTGTTTCGTAGGTACTATAAGCAATAGGTCAACTATATTTGATGCATGGAATGATTGTTAGGTGGCAGGTTTCATCTGACCTTGACCTCGTTTTCATAGTTCATTGGTTAATATAAAGTTGTCATGGTTTGGTCTGTTTCTTGTACATGTATACTATAAGCAATATTTGGTGTATGGAGTGATTGTAAGGTGTACATGTATTTCCGGCTTGGTTTATCTGACCTTGACCTCATTTGATCGGATCATGTTAAGTTTATGTGATACTTGTAGTAAACTTTATATTTAGGACTATCAACATAAAATCAATGGTCATTAAAACAGGCGAGATATTTCAGCGTGTGCACTCTTGTTAACATGTCCGATCATGTGTACGCATAATTCCAATGATTTGTATTGTAAGACTTGCTGTACAAATCCTTGTCTATACCAAAACAATTTAATTTTTCCGGTAAGCAAATGTTTTTCTTGAAACAGAGAGGCAGAAGATACCAAAGGGATGGTCGATGGCAAACTGACAAACTTGACTTTATAAATAGTGTATTAGAGGATACAAAGTAAACAGATAGGGGTGCACTGGACGTTAAGCAAATAACAATCAATCAATCAGATAGGGCTGTGATCCCTTTCTCTAGTTTTCAAAGCATATAATTGTTGCAAGAGTTATCTAACGTACAGCGAGTGTGTTATTCTCCCTGCACGAGCGAGTCACCAGATTTAACGTCCTCATTGACCGGACTTGACTGTATCCGATAACAGATGCGGATCCAGGTTTTTGAAAAAGGGGGGGGAGGGGGCGCGGGCCCCTTAACTTGACAAAATTTGTAGTAGAACCGGTAAAAAGTCTGTATTAACCATAAATAAAGCTCCATAAGGGGGCCCCGTGCACCCCGCCCTCCTTAAATCCGCCCATGGATAATGTGACATTTCATTTGAGAAACAAACATAGTGCATTTATATTCTGCAAGGACCAATGTGTATTCATAAATGCAAGGTGAGCTATAAACACTCCTTGTTGCACTTGTTTTCTACTTGTTCATTTGGTTGATAGCGTTTGATATTGTCAGTTTTTATGGACTTCACCTTTTTGAATTTACCTTGGAGTTCGGTATTTTTGTTATACTTTTTTGCAAATGGCTTTTACTTTTGGTCTCGATTTATCCTTCCATTATTTTTTTCTTAGGAGAAATTTCACATCAAGACGAGACGAAAGTTCTGCATTCAGCTGAAGTATTATTTGCAGATTTACCATTTATCTCTAAATACATCTATAAAGCAGAAAAGCTTAAATGGGCACACAGTACCTGGGCAGGTAGATATCAAATTGTTATGTGGTATGTACATATGGGTATACAGATCTTCAATTTTAAGAAATAATTCTAGCAGCTTCTCAGAATGCCAATACCAGACTGTAACATTAAGATTGAATCGTGTAGCTATGTAAATACATTAATATATGGATTTTATAATCCTATGATATTGTATTGCCGGAAGAATTGCAGAATTGATTGTCACGTGTTATTTATCCTTGCAAAATAATAATCACTGCAAAGATTGTCGCAAAAAAAACTTGTTCTGTTTACAATGCAAAAGAGAGAACCAGATCTTCAATCATTCTCATCATGACAGCGCTAGACAAATTGAAAAAAGGGCATCAACCAAACAGCTTATAAAGTGGGTACTAGTTTGTTCTTGTTTGGCCTTCAAAACACTGGCATTGAAATATTAAGTTGAGTTTTCATGCAGTTGTTGCCTGGGACAAGTGCAATTATAGGTATAAATGGCCGACTGTGCATTTTTCAATGCAAGACCGGAACAGATGAATATCCACTGAGCTCTTTCAGGACGGAGAAAATTATATATAATAAATTGCGTTGGAATTTCCAGTTTAACAAACGTATTGCATAAAGCTTTCTGTAGCAGTGAACTTATCCGATGAAAGCATGGAAGAAAGCTGAAAGCTTAAGATGAAAACTATCACTGATTGTTTTCTACATGTTTTTTTGTTTTTTTTTTGCAGGAGTAGAAACGATAATGCGTCATATAGACATCGAAAAGGTACGTTTATTGTCGAGCCTGCGAAATTTATTTCGCGAAAGCGAGACATAGCGATCCTAGATTCCGTCGTCGGCGTCGGCGGCGTCAACATTTAGGTTCAGTCTATGGTAAAAGTTTTTTTTAGACATCAATAACTTTGTCAAACCTACATGAATTTTTTTGAAATTTGGACAGAAGCTTGTTTATGACCAAAATACAATATCCAAAGCAAAATTTTGAAAATATTTATTTTTATTTTTCCGTATTTTACTAATAAATGGACTTGGTTTGTTTTTTGCAGTTAACATTCAGTTTAGTCTGAGGTTTAAGTTTTTCAGTCATCAATAACTTTGTCAAACCTTCATAGAATTTTATGAAATTTGGACAGCAACTTTTTTATGACCAAAAGACAGTAAGTGTCCAGTGCGAAATTTATTTTTCCGTATTTTACTGATAAATGGACTTAGTTTTTTTTTATTTACATTCAGATTTAGTCTGAGGTTAAAGATTTTTTTAGACACCAATAACTTTGTCAAAACTCCATGGATTTTATGAAATTTGGACCGAAGCTTGTTTATGTCCAAAAGACAGTATCGACAGAGAAATTTTGAAAATATTTATTTTCATTTTTCCGTACTTGACTGATGAATGGAGTTAGTTTTTTTTACAGTTAACACTCAGGCTCAGTCTGAGGTTAAAGTTTTTCAGTCATCAATAACTTTGTCAAACCTCCATGGAAATTTATGAAATCTGGATGAAAGATTGTTTATGACCAAAATACTGTATCTAGAGCAAAATTTTGAAAACATTTATTTTTTCGTATTTTACTGATAAATGGACTAGTTTTTTTAACAGTTAACAAGTAGATACAGTCTGGGCCAAGTGAGCTTTTCTCATCACTTGTCGTCCATCGTCGTCGTCCATTGTCCGTCGTCGTCCGATAACTTTTACAAAAATCTTCTCTTCTGAAACTACTGAGCTAAATTTAACCAAACTTGTCTACAATCATCATTTGGGTATCTAGTTTAAAATATATGTCCGATGACCCCGCCTACCAACCAAGATGGCCGACATGGCTAAAAATAGAACATAGGGGTAAAATGCAAGTTTTGTCTATTATTTTGAAAACCGTTATAAAAAGAGAAAATCTGACTGAAGCAAAATTAATAATAACGTTGAGCACTACCAATTGTTCATAAACGTCAAAACTGTTATACGACTTCTTATAGGAGTTATTTCCCTTAAATGACAAATTTTATCATTTTTTTTTTCATTTTTGCCTACTTTAAATTGCAAAAATGATCAACAAGACAAGTTCTACAAATAGGTCCACATGGTTGAAATCATCAATCGACTCCTTATTAGAGTTACTGTCCTTTGGTGACGATTTTTGCCAATTTTTTGCGTTTTTGTCATATATCTTAAAATTATAATAGATAGATAGAAACTTAAATAAGCAAAAATGAACAGTAAGACAAGATCTACAATTAAAAAATAAGGAAGAAAGCCTCTGACGACTCCTTATTGGAGTTATTGCCCTTTAAAGACGACTTTCGCCATTTGTTTTGCGTTTTGCCATATATGATGAACAATTATAAAAGATAAATAGACACTTTAAATCACAACAATGATCAGCAAGTCAAGATCTTCTAACAAGTCAAATTTTGCCGATATAGTTAGTAGACTGTCACTGTTTATAGGAGTGATTGCCCTAAATGAGGATTTTTTACCCTCTTTTGTGTTTTGAGCAAAAATTAAAGAAAATAGAGAGAAAATAAACAGACTAAATGTTCAGCAATACAAGATCAACAAAACAGATTTTTGTCATGAATTCTATTCTCGTCTACAATTTTGTAGAGTGTCCTTTGTGGAATATTCACATAGACCAAGGTGAGCGACACAGGCTCTTTAGAGCCTCTAGTTAAGTCAACATTACACTTAGAGTAGAAAATTAATCATTCAAAGTAAAACCTGAATTATTTCTCATTGAAGACTTCGTCCTAATTACTTTTCGGGATGCAGTTCCTGACACTATATAGAACCGAAAATTATCACTGCAGAGCTTTAAAGTTTGCGTGATTCGTATGTGATTGTTTAGACATATTATACGGATTTCTACATCTATTTTTATTGGAGTACATACGCCCTACAGTGTAGTTTTACCAATTTGAATGGTGTTAACTTGTTACATGTCAAAGTCTGGTTTTGTAGTAGAGTTTATATGCTCTTTATTTTTATTGAGGTTCTCTTATCAATATATGAGGATCATATATCTGCCGTACTCCTCTATATTTTAAAGTCCCGATATATTATGGATCATTTTGTGGTTTCCATAGATGTGTTTCTTTGTTTTAGCCTCCTCGGGTTTTCTTAAGTCAAGGAGGGACAGCGTTCACAGATTTGATGGCTGAATATGTTCTTGGATATATCTTAGCTAAAGAGAAAAATATTTTTGGCATGTACGAAGATCAGAAAAACAAAGATTGGAAACCGTAAGTTATGATTATTGTTCAATTTGTCGTTATTGTTCGAAATACTATTAGAAATCAAAACATCGATTATTTGCCTGTTCTTATGTTTCTATCTCAATCTGATTAACATTATATCGTAACTCACATACTTGTCTGATGACCGAAATCAGAGATGTATATTTAATCAGATTGTTTCTGGTGAATGAATTGTTTTTTTTAACGAATTCCATTGTTGATATAAAGGAAACATTTCCTCTTGCCATACACATAATGGAGTTGGCAGCCTGTACATATGTTTTAGTGATAGTTTTGTCTAGGATCGGATCCAATTTAAACCTTTTATGTCTGCTTCATTCGTTCGGGCTAAGCCCGGTTAATCGTATCACCTAACTAGGTTGCCAAAACGAGCGGAACCGGTTGAATCAAAGAGTCTGAAGTATAAATGCAGTTATACTATTTGTTTTTCAAGCTTTCGAACATCACCCAAAAAGCCCGTTAATTAATGCATGTACAATCTTTTTTTTTTTGCAAAAATCTAATTCATCATAAAATCGTGTCTCTCACGGTGCTGATTTTATAAATTTGAAATAAAATCTGGAGTAATATTCTATATATGGTTGATCATTACGGCATCACATTTTAATAAAGTATGCATGGATGATCATGTAACCATCTGCATCTTTCAATTCCAAAATGTTACCTGACAATAATTCGCCATACTTTTAGACCGGTTGATTCTTCCCGGTCTGTTCATACCTAAAAGGTGTAAAGTAACGTTTAGTTCTTTCGGTCATCGGATTTATTTATTTAAGTGTTGAACGTTTGAAGATTTCAGCTTGACACGTGTCATTTATCCGACTATTAGATACTTGTATTAAATTTAATGAAATTTAAATTTTTAATGTTTAGACAAAAACTGGATGTTTTACATTTATAACTTAAAGTAAAGTTTAGATATATTAAAACAAAAACTTGTGTATATCATTGACATCTTATCAAGATACGAAACAAAAATATGGTATTTATTTATATCTGTATAGGGAGGAATATAAGAATCCAAGACTACTCTCAAACCTAAGACTCGGTATTCTTGGTGCAGGACAAATCGGGACCAGAAGTAAGTACTCCTTTGTCATGCACTTTAAGTGTTGTACTCAACTTAGATTTGGTGCACTTAATTCAGTCCATAACACGTTGTGACTATATAGACGATATACTTGTTGGAAGGTTTAAATTTGTTCTCGTCTTTATTCCAAATGTAGAGTTTATGAAATATATAACATACATTTTTGACGCATATATTGTGTTGTCTTATGAACAGTTATGTGAAAATCACGTCTTTACAACGTTTACAGTATAGATATTTCAATGTTTTTTAAATTTTTTAATGACTTGACGTCTTTTCTTAATATTGATAAAGTTGGAACATTCTGTAAAGCCGTTGGAATGGAAGTCTGGGGAATGACCAGGGAAGCCAGAAACAATCCAGATCTACCTTTAGATGTTTACAAGTACGTTTTATACTTATACTATGCTAATGAAAATAATTTCTGACTTATTGCACCCAGAGACATATAATATATAATACAATTGTATTATATGTCTGTGTTGCTTCTACTGTGAAAGAAAATATCTGGGGTGATTTTGTAACTTTAACCTGTGCATTTCATCATTATTAATTTTAAATTGAGTCTCAGTACAGTTGGAAATCTAGGATTTTGAGGGGATGCCAAGGCAAAGTTAGGAGTGAGACTTGTAAAAAGTCTATGCATTAACCATATATGTAGCTCCATTAGGAGGTGGGGCCGACTAAATTCGGCTCTGCGGTATATTGATTTATACTTGTGTTTGTTGAGTTACAAATGAACATGACGAATGAGTTTTTTTAGGTATCAAACTATTTTACTTAGTTGACATGAATTATATATTTTATATACGGTACAAGTGTGGACACAGATGAATGTGGATAGTATGTTTGGATGTTTGACAGTGTTTTATATGACAAAAGGAGTTCTATGTTTTTCCTATATGTTGTTATTAACTGTGTTGCACGATGACAACCAACCTGAGCATGAGGAGTGTTGTTTATTTAATATTTAGATTTTATGTTCAAGAGGGCATGGAAGAGACACTAATTGCATTAATGACCAAATGATAATGATAGAATATTTTCCACATCTTTGATTTTGGATAAATTTTGTAGTTAGGAGAGCAACACATAATAGGTTCATTTTTTCATGTGATTTTTTTTTAAATGGGAGATGATATCTGAGAACATGATATCAGGAGGCTGTAATTCAGTGGTTGTCGTTTGTCTATGTGTTACATAATATTTGTTTTTCGTTTATTTAGAGTACATAAATAACATAAATGACTATGCATTATGGGCTTTGCTCATTGTTGAAGGCTGTACGGTGACCCGTAGTTGTTAATTTCTGTGTCATTTTGGTCTGTTGTGGAGAATTGTCTCATTGGCAATCATACCACATCTTTTTTATATGTATTTGCTCACTATTTGTATGGTTCTATTTATATTACTTTGTGGTGGATTGTCAGTATCATTAGTAAAATATTTTGTTAAAATGTCGAAATAGTTTCTCAGATTAGAAGACATTTATTGGTTTTTAGTAATGAAAATGCCTGACATGATACTTGGGGCTAGATGAGCTAGAAAGTAAACTTCTGTGTTGTTTTTTATCAATTCTTTGATAACATCTCCTCCAAAGCTGGCCGAAGCAAAAAAAAGTTTTGACCAATATGAAAACGATATCAACAAAAAAAACCTTTGTGAGCATGCTTCAAAGACTCGTAACTGCTCCAAAAGTAATCTGATAGAATTTCAAGCATGTCAAGTGGGTATTATGAATATCTACTTAATATGTCTAAATATCAAAAAAGTTATAGTATTCAATATGAAAAAAATATTGCAAAATTATTCTCTTTTCAATTTTTTTTGTTATATGGATACAAATATAAGTGATACCAATACAGTATTTGTTGTGGTATGAAAGTGTAGTAATTAACATTTACTGTAACAATGTTAATTCACACAAATTAAGAAATAAACAAATGAATGAAAAATGTTGAACATGTACAACAAATGTACAATCAAATATAGTTTTAGAAATCAATTAGGCCAGATAGGCCTTATAAATTTTTTTTTTTTTTTTTTTTAACATACTGAATGACCATTTACACTCAGGACCGAGTCATCAGTTATTAGGCAGTACAGATGTATTAAAACAACCTAGCATCATATTGCTAGTAGCGAGTGTAGCATTGTAGGGTAAATTTGTTCTTTTTTAAAAATTTGGTTAAAGGACAAAAAATGTTTGGTTCAAATCATAATAAAATGCTTTTATCTCCGTATTACTTACATTGTACATAGAATGGATACTACCCTGACAAATCCTTGTACATGAGAGTTGTCTGTCAAATCTTTATTTCACAAAGAATGAATTGCATAACAATGAACTGAGCTCAAAGCAAAGCACTTTAATAATACACTTAGACAAAGAGCTCAATCCAGTGATATACTTTGTACTACAGGTCCTTCATGAACATCCTATCCACCAAAACCATATCTCCCAAACATGCCATACTACATGTACATGGTTCGATCAGAAGTCCTGAAAAACATATGAATTTTATTATCATATTTTAATTATACATACACAGGTTAAAAGTTATATACTCCAATGGCAGTCTTTCCTGCTAAAATGTCATGTGTAGAATGTGATATACCATTTTTGGGTCTATATGGGTACTGTCCTTTATATTCATTAGGTCATTTTGACACAGCAAAATATATAGAAAATGTTAACTTTGATCTGGAAATTGAGTTCTTTTTCGCAAAATAAACCCACTAAAAACTAAACTTTGAATGCAAAAGACCCCTAAATGGCTAAGGGGACGACCATTTGATATTCTGGGGGGGGGGGGGGGGGGGGGGGGGGCAGGAGGATTTGTTTTGGATCGGTTATTTATTTTTGTAAACTAAGAGGACAGATTATCTATTTTCTGCACTATTGAAGCAAGATTTTTTCATTTTCATTAAAGCAAGGGACTGATTATTTATTTTCACAACTATATTTTTAATATTCGAAAACATACAATTTTTAAATTATTTGTTTATTATAAATAATTCATGTGTAGTCGTCATTATGTACCATTTAATCAGAATTAATTATTATCCTCTGCAGAAATGAATCTTCTATATTCCCCAATGCATATACATGTATTGCATACATACACAGTATTAAAGTTTGGTTGCAACTAAGGCTCTTTTAAAAGTATTGGCAAACATGTTTCGCCGAGCGGAGCGAGGCAAAATTTTTTTTGAAGGGTTTTTGAACCGCTGAAGGCCCAAGAAGCTATAGAACAAATGATGCAAAATCATGCCTTCTGGGTGTTCCCCAGACCCTTTCTTAAACTGAAAATGCAAGTTCTGTTGTAATAATTTTATGACAATATTTTGGTCTCAAAGCAAAATATCACGTTATAGATTCAGTGTAAGACTTAAGTTTCTAGGGACAACATCAAAAGACAAATATGCATGATAAAGCAAAAATGTAATTCACATAGTTAAGTCTGTGGCTGCTGTGTTTTTTTAAACTCATGATCAAGTTAATAATAAAATTACTAAATTACAAAATGAATGCAACACTGACAGAATACAGAAGGGCAATCAATGAACAAAAGACAAATAAATAAAAAACATTGATCCCGAAAAATCAGGGGCTACGTCTGAGGGAGAACAGAACTTGCTTCTTGCAAGGCACTCACAATGAACACAATTTGATATGGAGACAAGCGTTTGGTTTTGAAATTTCCTACATGAGGCATTTGTCTCAATGTAGTTACGGCCCTGATTTAATAAAAGTGAGGTAAGTGTTCCTGAGACAATTAACCTCAAGTTAAATGAAACCAATTTTCTGACATTTCAAGTATATTTAAATAATATTTATACTTTTATTATTAAAAGATATGGGAAGTGTTTCCCCGATTTTTTTTTTTGGGAAAAAAATGAATTTAAGAAAGAATCTGGTGCCATCTCATACTTTCGATTAGACCTGCTGAGTTATTTATTTTCAATACATTGCAAGTCAGGTAATTTATTTTCAAACTACCACAGAACAAACCATTTATTTTTGTGATTATCAAGGCTGAGTTATTTATTTTCAAAATCCTCCTGCCCCCCCCCCCCCCCCAGAATATCAAATGGTCGTCCCCTAACAGATATTGCTATAAAGAATAGTCCATGATGATTATTGTTATTGTTATTAAAGAGTTCATGAAATGTACACTGATTCTGTCAGTTGAATGGACTAGAATGAGATAAGTTATATAAACATAAAGGTTTTTTCAACAGTTGTGGTGTAAATTAAATCAGTTTTATTTTATGGTTGACATATTTAAGTATATATGTAGATCATTGGCTTTTCAACACATTGATATTTTACAATATCGATTATCTATTTATTGTTATATTGTTGGTATTTTTCACCTTCCTAAAACAGTTTTAATGCAACATGAACGCAAGCTTAATAGATCTTGATAGGGTGTCCTCACATATTTTGATGTTGCTGAAAAATTTTGGTTGACATATGTATCCTCTTCTCATCGTTTTTCGTGCTATTAAGAATGCATACTGTCGTCACAATTTCCATTGAAAAGGCATGCATAGTACAAATTCATATGACGTACGAAAACATATGATATGACCATATACATGTACATGTATGTATAGGTTATCAGCTTTTCTACACATATTAGCCAGTAAGCCGCAATGAACCTATTATGGCGAGTGAGCGCAGCTAATGAGCTAAAATGATTCAAATTGTGTCCTCAGTGGGGGATATTTTAAGGGATCTATATGAAGAAAACCTGATCATCTGTTTATCGTTCTATTACTGGCTTTTTCACCTCCCTAACTTGGACTAAGACAGTTTTTACAAACGAAAGCAAGCTTGATAACTACTCCTCACACACATGTATAGATTATCGGCTTTTCTACACGAGTCATGAATATCGTAAAATGTAAGCCAGTGAGCAGGCCCGCAATGAACCTTTTTAGCGAGTGAGCCCAGCTAATGAGCTAAAATGAATCAAATTGTGTACTCAGTCACAGTTGGTGATATTTTAAGGTATCTACACAAAGAAAACCTGCTTATATAAATCTCAGTGGCGGATCCACAACTTTTCATAAAAGGGGGGTGGCCGCTGACTGACCTAAGGGTTGCCCACTCCCGTCATGCTTCCCCAGTGGCGGATCCGGGGGGACGGTTCCGAGGGTTGGAACCCCCCCTTTTTTTGGACGATCAATGCATTTGAATGGGGACACATAGTTGGAACACACCCCTCCCCCTTTTGTCCCGAGTTGGGAACCCCCCTTTTATAAAATGGCTGGATCCGCCCCTGCTCCCTATAAAATCAACCAAATTTTCCCCACCCCCTGGATCCGTCTATGTAACTGTTTATCGTTCTGCGTAATACTGGCTTTTTCACCTCCCTTACTTGGCCCTAGAGGCTAGACAGTTGCTTATCTGTTTATCGTTCTGTCACTGGCTTTTTATACGACCGCAAAAATTGAAAATTTTTTGGTCGTATATTGGTATGACGTTGGCGTCGTCGTCGTCGTCGTCGTCGTCGTCGTCGTCTGGCGTCGTCCGGCGTCGTCCGAAGACACATTGGTTTTCGCACTCTAACTTTAGTTTAAGTGAATGGATCTCCATGAAATTTTACCATAAGGTTCAATACCACGAAAGGAAGGTTGGGATTGATTTTGGGGGTTATGGTACCAACAGTTAAGGATTTAGGGGCCAAAAAGGGGCCAAAAATAAGCATTTTTGTAACTTCCAGACAATAACTTGTGTGTAAGTGTATGGATCTCTCTGACATTGTACCACAAGGTTCCATATCACAAAGGGAAGGCTGTAATTGATTTTGGGGGTAATTGCCTCAAAATTTTAGGAATTAGGGGCCAAAAAAGGGGCAAAAAACAAGCATTTTTCTAGTTTCATGACAATAACTTGTGTGTAAGTGTTTGGATATTTCTGAAATTGTACTACAAGGTTCCATATCACAAAGGGAAAGCTGGAATTGAGTTTGTGGGTTATTGCCCGAAACGTTTAGGAATAGGGGGCCAAAAAGGGGCCAAAAATAAGCATTTTTCTAGTTTCCAGACAATAACTTGTGTTCAAGTGTATGGATCTCTCTGAAATTGTACTGCAAGGTACCATACCACAAAGGGAAGGCTTGGATTGAGTTTGGGGGTGATGAATCATAAGGGGGTTCAAAAAATTTGGGGGGGGGGGGGGATTTTATTTTTTTTCTTTTTTTTTCTTTTTTTCCTTTTTTTTTTTCTTTTAAAATTTTCCATTTTAAGTTGGTTATTTCTGATTAATATTTAAAAGCAAATAATAATGATATGGTAGGAGATACACACCAAACAGGATGTGTAAATTATTATATAATAAGTATTGTGCAATAGCAAGAAATTTTCAATTGCACAGTATTGCACAATTGCAAGAAATCTTCAATTGCACAGTATTGCGCAATAGCAAGAAATCTTCAATTGCACAGTATTGCGCAATAGCAAGAAATATCCAATAGCACAATATTGCGCAATAGCAAGAAATTGTCAATTGTACAGTATTGCACAATAGCAAGAAATATTCAATTGCACAGTATTGTGCAAAAGAAGATACTTCGTATAAATTGCTTATTTCTTGATCAATTTCAATGGGGTTTTATTCTTGAATTCTTGGGGTTCTTTAATATGCTGAATCTAACCAAGTATTTAGATTTTTTATTTGTGGACCCGCTATCAAATTGGTTCATATTGAGGTCAAAAGGGTCCAAAATTAAACTTTGTTTGATTTCATCAAAAATTGAATTATTGGGGTTCTTTGATATGCCAAATCTAACCGTGTATTTAGATTTTTAATTTTGGGTCCCGTTTTTAAATTGGTCTACATTAAGGTCCAAAGGGTCCAAAATTAAACTTAGTTTGATTTTAACAAAAATTGAATTCTTGGGGTTCTTTGATATGCTGAATCTAAACATGTGTTTAGATTTTTAATTATGGGCCCAGTTTTCAAGTTTGTCCAAGTTGGGGTCCAAAATTAAACTTTGTTTGATTTCAACAAAAATTGAATATATGGGGTTCTTTGATATGCTGAATCTAAACATGTATTTAGATTTTAGATTTTTGGCCCAGTTTTCAAGTTGGTCCAAATTGGGGTCCAAAATTAAACTTTGTTTGATTTCAACAAAAATTGAATATATGGGGTTCTTTGATATGCTGAATCTTACCATGTATTTAGATTTTTTATTTGTGGGCCCGCTATCAAATTGGTTCATATTGAGGTCAAAAGGGTCCAAAATTAAACTTTGTTTGATTTCATCAAAAATTTAATTATTGGGGTTCTTTGATATGCCAAATCTAACCGTGTATTTAGATTTTTAATTTTGGGTCCCGTTTTTTAAATTGGTCTACATTAAGGTCCAAAGGGTCCAAAATTAAACTTAGTTTGATTTTAACAAAAATTGAATTTTTGGGGTTCTTTGATATGCTGAATCTAAACATGTGTTTAGATTTTCTATTATGGAACCAGTTTTCAAGTTGGTCCAAGTTGGGGTCCAAAATTAAACTTTGTTTGATTTCAACAAAAATTGAATATATGGGGTTCTTTGATATGCTGAATCTAAACATGTATTTAGATTTTAGATTTTTGGCCCAGTTTTCAAGTTGGTCCAAATTGGGGTCCAAAATTAAACTTTGTTTGATTTCAACAAAAATTGAATATATGGGGTTCTTTGCTATGCTGAATCTTACCATGTATTTAGATTTTTTATTTTGTGGGCCCGCTATCAAATTGGTTCATATTGAGGTCAAAAGGGTCCAAAATTAAACTTTGTTTGATTTCATCAAAAATTTAATTATTGGGGTTCTTTGATATGCCAAATCTAACCGTGTATTTAGATTTTTAATTTTGGGTCCTGTTTTTTAAATTGGTCTACATTAAGGTCCAAAGGGTCCAAAATTAAACTTAGTTTGATTTTAACAAAAATTGAATTTTTGGGGTTCTTTGATATGCTGAATCTAAACATGTGTTTAGATTTTTGATTATGGGACCAGTTTTCAAGTTGGTCCAAGTTGGGGTCCAAAATTAAACTTTGTTTGATTTCAACAAAAATTGAATATATGGGGTTCTTTGATATGCTGAATCTAAACATGTATTTAGATTTTAGATTTTTGGCCCAGTTTTCAAGTTGGTCCAAATTGGGGTCCAAAATTAAACTTTGTTTGATTTCAACAAAAATTGAATATATGGGGTTCTTTGCTATGCTGAATCTTACCATGTATTTAGATTTTTTATTTTGTGGGCCCGCTATCAAATTGGTTCATATTGAGGTCAAAAGGGTCCAAAATTAAACTTTGTTTGATTTCATCAAAAATTGAATTATTGGGGTTCTTTGATATGCCAAATCTAACCGTGTTTTTAGATTTTTAATTTTGGGTCCCGTTTTTTAAATTGGTCTACATTAAGGTCCAAAGGGTCCAAAATTAAACTTAGTTTGATTTTAACAAAAATTGAATTCTTGGGGTACTTTGATATGCTGAATCTAAACATGTGTTTAGATTTTTGATTATGGGACCAGTTTTCAAGTTTGTCCAAGTTGGGGTCCAAAATTAAACTTTGTTTGATTTCAACAAAAATTGAATATATGGGGTTCTTTGATATGCTGAATCTAACCATGTATTTTGATTTTGGGCATTGGACCATAATAGGTAAATTAAAAAAATTGAAGTTCTTAGACCACATTCTTTCTGTGTCAGAAACCTATGCTGTGTCAAATATTTAATCACAATCCAAATTCAGAGCTGTATCAAGCTTGAATGTTGTGTCCATACTTGCCCCAACTGTTCAGGGTTCGACCTCTGCGGTCGTATCAAGCTGCGCCCAGCGAAGCATTTTATTTTAGACTAGAGACTTCATGTGTACAAACCTGACGTCAAACTCGTGTACTATAAAAGAAGAGACAAATAATTTCACATTAAATCCTGTAACATTACATCTAAAGATAATTATAATCCAAAGTAAATTATATTACGATGTCAATGGACTAAATTCCCGCGCAAATGTCATCACTGGGATAGACCAAAACGAATTTTAGGTTTATGTATCATTCACATTCCGATCAATTTACTCAGTTAAATAAAATATATGTGTTAACTATTTTTTATATTGGTTTTGAATTTAGTTAATCTATCAGAAAAAAGGATTTATTTCTCGCAGATAGCCCTCAATACTATACACCAACTCGACACTGAAGCTAAAAAAAACCTAAAACATAATAGTATATGGAATCGTCCAAACGGATTACCTAATATTGATATAGGTGAAATATGTAGATTCAGAATTGTGTACACAGAAATAAGATCAGAAATAAAGCCCTATGTAAGGTGAAAACAATAACACAATGTATAAAATCATTGTTTATTAAATTTGCTTGCATAAGAACCATGAAGTTAAAATTTATAACGATTACGTTTATCCTGTCAACCCCTTTTCTTCATTGCATCAAGGCTTCCGTTGCTTTACATCGAGCAGCAATTCAACCAATCGGGGAATGTTAAGTTGGGACATACCTCTATTTTTGGAAGCGTGATCTTTACATCGAGGCTTGCGTTGCTTTACACCGAGGCCACAGTAGTTCGACCAATCGGGGAATGTTTATTTGGGGCATGTGACCTATTGAACTGCAGGTTTTATAATATTTTAATCGAAATTGTAGAAAAATGAAATGTTGTTAGTACATACAAAACAGAAAATGATGAATACTTTTAGTAAAAGATAATTTGGATCCGGGTTCTGTGTATTCACATCATTTGTACAACTCTCCTTACTGATGCCATTTTTTGGAATTTCTGTGACCTAAATGGTTCGCGAAAATTAATATTTTATTATATATATAGTAATTAAAATCGCTTGTTAAATCTGAAAATTTACATTTTGTTCAGGACCACCAAGGACCTCCCAGAAATATTACAGAACTGTGACTATATATGTAGTGTACTGCCAACCACTCCTGATACCAAAGATCTTCTGTCTGGAGATATTCTCAAGCATTGTATGAAAAAGGTTAACAACTTTGATTCTACTTCCGTGGCAAAACACATTATATTGTCTTATAGTCTAGAAGTTAGTCAGTGTCATTTTCAATATAAAAAATTGCTTAAAACTAGAAGGGGGCAATACAAAGGCTCTTATGCCCCTGTACTTTCATTATTTTTGTTACGAATTCCAACCAATGTTTATGGAAATATAAAGGTAATATGCACAAATGATCAATATTTCCAGGTTGAATCAGTTTCTCGGTCACAAGGTAAATAATATTTGGTGTATAGAATCATTTAGAGTATCCGTTATACAGAATTGATTTTATCCTGACCTCATTTTCATAGTTCAGTGGTCATTGTTACGTTTTTTAACTTGATTGTCCATAAAGTTAGCGAAGTACGGCAGGCTGGCGGCTGCCAACAGTTTCCATTCAATAACTTATGAACCGTTCAACTAATGCTTTTCAACTTTTAATATGTTGATTCTAATGACAAAATAGAGGTCAGGGTCGGTATTGATAACTTTCACTTTTATCATTCAGGAGTTATGGTACTTGATATATTGGAAAATGGCACTTTACATATGAACCCTTTTTCCAATGGTTTTTCAAATTTCAACATGGTGTTACTTATAACAAAATGGAGGTCATGTTCAATATTGACGATTTCCACTTTTACCATTCTAGAGTTATGGGCCTTGATCAATTGGAAAATGGCACTTTATGTCGTTTCTGTGCAATTACTTATGAACCACTCGACCAATGCTTTTACAATTTTGATATTTTGGTACTGATGAAAAAATGAAGGTCAAGTTTGATATTGATGATTTTTACTTCTGCTGTCCAAAAGTTATTGTTGTTGATAGATTGAAAAATGGCACTTTATGCCATTTCTGTGCAATTACTTCTGAACCGTTCAACAATGCTCTTCAAATTTTAATATGCTCTTACTGATGACAAAATGGTGCAAGTTTGATATTGGCGAGTTCCATTTTTGCCGTTCAGGAGTTATGGTCCTTGATAGATTGGAAATTGGCATAGAATGGGGCAGGTAAAAAAACCTGAACGCGCCTTTCATAATAAAGAAAACCAAGTCTGCTGTCAATGTTACAGTTCATTCCTTTTTTTAGCGTGTATTCACTGATGAACTCTTGCATATCTTTAAACTGTCATTCACATACGTAATAGGCAGGTATAAAAATAAGAAGATGTGGTATGATGACAATGAAACAACTCTCTCACAGAGACCAAATGACGTAAAAGTTAAAAAAAAAGTAAGCAAATATAGGTCATCATACGGTCTTCAACATTGAGTGAAACCCATACCGCACAGTAAGCTATAAAAAGCCCGACATGACATGGTATGATACTACAAATGTACTATGCAGGGGAATATGTAATGTTACTACTAAAAATTTGAATGTTTCTAATAGGACAAATGAAAACGTGTATTTTAAGTTGCCTATCACATCAGTATCTAGATATAATCTCGATATGATGCAGATCTTGTATCTGTACTAACGTTAACTTAAAGTTTACAGGTGTATGTGAAATAAACATACTCACTGAAAAAAAATTATTATTGGATGAAAGTACGTCATATATAAGACAGTATGTCTGTAATTAAAACTAAACAATTTGATGTAATTGACATGTAGAGTCGTATTTTGAAACACATACATTTGATTTGATCGGTTTTATATAACAAGCCACATTTTATGTTGATTGATCATTCAGTTCAACATTGAAAGCAACAGAGGTACCACTGCATCAGTTTCATCTGTCTTTAATTTGTTGCTGTTGAGATTGTTTTTAATGTTTCCCACTTGGTGCTTTGCAGAAGTCAGTATTTATAAATGTCGGAAGAGGAACTGTTATTAATGAAGATAGTTTGGTCACTGCTTTAAGGTAATTACTTACAAACGTATTGACCTTTTTTAAATGGTAGAGAAAAATATCTTTTCTTATACATTTTAGTACGGAACAATGCATAAATGAAATTATTTAAATTTAACTACAGGCTCTAAAGAGCCTGTGTCGCTCATCTAGGTCTATGTACATTTTAATAATAGACACTATCCAACATTGAAGATTAGAATAGAATTCATGACAAAAATATCTTTTTTTTTCATTACTGATAATTTTTCTGTTTACATTTTGCCCAAAACACAAAAGAGCGTATCAAAAAAAAAAATCGTCATTAAAGGGCAATAACTCTAATAAGAAATCGTCTGACGATTTCAGCAATGCTGACTTAATTGTAGATCTTGTAGATCTTTTACTGTGCGTATTGCTGTGTGTTTGTTTATTCTACATTGGCTACAGGTATAGGGGGAGGGTTGAGATCTCACAAAACATGTTTAACCCCGCCGCATTTTTGCGCCTGTCCCAAGTCAGGAGCCTCTGGCCTTTGTTAGTCTTGTATGTTTTTTAATTTTAGTTCATTTATATGTTTTGGAGTTTTCATTGAACTGGTACACATTTTTGGTTAGGGGCCAGCTGAAGGCCGCCTCCGGGTGCGGGATATTCTCGCTGTATTGAAGACCCATTGGTAGCCCTCGGCTGTTTTCTGCTCTTTGGTCGGGTTGTCTCTTTGACACATTCCCCATTTCCATTCTCAATTTTATTGTTGATCATTTTTGCTATTAAAGTTTCTCTTTATCTATTATAATTTTCAAGATAATAACCAAAAATGAAAGAACAAAAAATGGTGAATTCATCATTCAAGGGCAATAACTCCTATAAGATATCTTCTAACCGTTTTGACTGAAAGAACAATAGGTAGAGCTCAAAATGCCAAACATTTCTGTCTCTGTCAGATTTTCTCTTTTATTCGTGGTTTTCAAAATAAAAGACAAAACTTGCATTTCACCCCTATGTTCCTTTTTTTAGCCATGTCGGCTATGCTGGCATCGGACACATTTGTTAAACTAAATACCCCAATGATGATTGTGGCTAAGTTTTGTTAAATTTGGCCTAGTATTGTCAGAGGAGAAGATTTTTGTGAAAGTTAACGGACGACGACAGACGACGGACGCCAAATGATGGAGAAAGCTCATACTGGCCCTTTGGAACAGGTGAGCGAAAAAGTAAGGGACCTGGCTACTGAGGACAATAAAGTTTTGGAGATATTAGAGAGTTGATAATCATCAGGACATTTAAAGTTTTTTACTAACTTAACTAACCATATAGAAGATTAACTAATAACATAATAATTCCAAATGAAGGTAAGCTTAAATGATATATGTATGTTATGTTGTAGGAATGAATGGATTGGTGGTGCTATTTTAGACGTTTTTAACACCGAACCCTTATCTGTAGACAGTCCTTTGTGGTCATTCCGTAACGTGATCATTACACCACATATATCAGGACCTTGCCAGACTCAACTAGTGAGTACTACAATTATAAATTCTTCTCTATTAATATTTCATATATATATATATATATATATAAAATAACCGCTTATATTTAACTGTTTAATCATGTTAGTATTGACAGACGATTTATATTGTCCTGACATATAAAGAAACACCATAACATACTTTTGATTTACTTCTCATAAATTGTTAAATTCATTATAAACAATAGCATCTTTCTACACCCTGGCAAAGACAACCTTAGGTAGATTTGCAACACTCGATTTATATTTTTTTGTAAAAATACTCGGTAACAAGTTACAAATATACGATGCACATTCTACTGAAAGTTAATACAGAAACTTGGGTAGCATATTGCACTATTTGGTATCAACAGACCAGTACAAGTTCGTATCACAAAACAACGCTTTGCTGTCTACTTAATGGCTAAAGAGTTTGTATTATAGATATATTTGTATTCCTATATCATGTCATTTCAGTACAAAAGATAACTAATACAAGGACCTAAATGGAAAAAAAAACCTTAGACAAGATTCTGGCTTGCTATAAGCATTATGAAAAAAATGATGCTTAAGTAAATCTGGTATTACTATTTTGTAGGTCGTCCAGACCTTTGTTGAAAATTACAATAAATTTGTCAACAATGAAACACTTGGTAGTTTAGTGGACTGGAATGGAGGTTACTGATTCTACATCATGTGTTTAAACGACAGGGAAATATAATCTAGACGATTGCAATATAACTGTGATTTCGAAAAAATGAATTTACTTTTTACAAAACATACTTTAAGTTTGCATTAGTTTTCAATATATGCAATGAAAATAAAGCTAATATTATAGGAGTTAAAAATTGAAACATGTGTAACGACATCTAATAAAATATTCTGCTTGAACATGTGACAGTCTATCCTGAACATACAATTAGCTTGTGTTCCTTATTGGAGGTCTAATTGTGGTTTTGTGGTGAAGAAAAACTTTAAAAGTACTGTTCCTTTGCTTTGGGGTTTGTAGAAAAAAGGAGTTGAAAAAAAAGAAACACAACAGTCTACAAACACTACAAGCAAACATGACTGAGCAACACACACCCCACCAAAACCCGGTGGTGATCTCAGCTGCTCTGAAAGAGTAAGCAACTCCTGCTCCACTGGCGGCACCCGTCGTGTTGTTCATGTTAAGTAAAACATCGGTGATAAGTCAAAATTCGGTGATTTCACTATCGAGGAAAAGAGGACATGATTGTGGCTACGATACATTGAACTTATCCATAGTCATTTGTGACACATTAGGAAACCTGGTGTAATAGCTTCCTTGAAAGTAGCTACTCTCATGAAGTAGTTTTGTCATAAAGGAATACACCATATCCCAGCTACTGCATTATGTTCAGTGTTTCTGGGCAGTTTTGCATGTGTTGTTGGTCCAGCAAACAATTCGTATTACAATTAAAAGAAGGATATCATAGTATGTAACAACGGATTGCACCTGTTGCTAAAATCTAAACACACGCGTATTTACAAACAATCATTACTAAATGATAACAACTAGCCAACATTCTCATACGGAAAAAATCATACAAACTTTTTCAAAGACAAAACAAAACCACCTGACAATAATTCATTTAATTTCATGTCCATTCACTGTGTACTCTTATTTTAATGATCGGTTATATACATTGGACTTAAAAATTAATGATACCACAGAAAAAAAACGTCTACATCTTATTCTAGAAATGGACAGTAACAATCTAATTAAAATAAAGTTCTCTGATTTCATTCGTATGAAATCAGAGAACTATATTTTAATTAGATTGGGACATTAAAGATGAAAAACGCGAGATTTCAATGTTGTTGTTGTTAACGCATGTTATGTTATGTTAGGTCATATTAGGCCTTCAACAATGAGCAAAACCCATACCTGATACAGTCAATCAGGTGTACGATTTACAAAAAAAATGAAAATGAATTCACATATGGCAGAACTATTATTCCAAACAATCAGTCAGTTATTTAAGGACCCGACATGGCAAACAATACCCAAATTCAAACGGAAAAACAACGGCCTGTTTTATGACAAAACAATAAACAATAACAGATAACAACCAACGACATACAGAATGTTAACACCCCCCCCCACCCACTCCTCAACCCTGGGATAATGGTGAAACAGAAAAATGTAAGAACAACATGTAAAAATTATTTAGAAATGACTTGACTAATCATATCGACACGAAATGCCAAGATACAACCAACATGAATATAAAAGACACAAAGTGCCGATCTGAGAATAATCGCAGTTGCTGAAAGAAAGTTAAAAGCCAACAATAACTGCGGAATAAATCATCTTGCCCAAGACCAAAGTATCTATTAAGAACACATCCAATTGATTTATGGTAAAGACGTCGTAAACAGTCTGAGAAAAGCATGACATTGTGCAATGTCAAAACATAAGTGCACACTATCGACATGATGTAGGACCGTAAGTTTTCATAAATGTAAAGCAATCCATAATTAGTTCTGTTTAATTCATAAAAAAAAATCAAAGTCAATAAAAAAAAAACTATATTGAAACATCTTTCTTCGGTGTTGATATGATTCCTTTAAAATAGGTGTCAATATGATTCCTTTAAGAATAATTTGATTTAAAGGAAACTAAAGATAAATGTAGACAAAACAAAAATAGTAATATTTTCGAGAGGAAGAATTCCAAGAGGAATAGAATTTCGATATAGGGGAAATATTATAGAGACGGTTAAAGATTTTAACTATCTGGGAGTTTTACTTAACCGTAATGGAAACTTTAAAAAAGCAAAAGAAGAAGCCTCTCGTAAAGGCCTAAAAGCCATGTATGAGGTTTTTTTTACACAATTTGTCTATTAAAATACAGTTAGACCTACTTGATAAAATGGTCGTGCCCGCTCTTTTGTATGGTTGCGAAATATGGGAAACAAGTAAAACGATATCATTGAAAGGGTTTACTTAAAGTTTTGTAAGATGCTTTTACAACTTAAATCGTCAACACCATCTTTTATGGTATATGGCGAACTTGGAAGGTTTCCTCTCGAAATACATATAAAAACAAAAATTGTGTCATTTTGGACAAAATTAATTGAGGGTAAAAGTTCGAAACTGTCCTCTATAACATACAAATACAAACTGATTTATCAATTGAATACTGTAAATAATATAGGGTCTCCATGGTTACCGAGTATAATGAGTATACTCAATGATTGTGGATTGGCATATGTATGGAACACACAAACTTTTATTAACAAGGGATGGTTGGTAAACACAGTTGTTCAAAGTATGAAAGATCAATATGAACAAAATTGGCATAGTGAAATGGAAAACTCGTCAAAATCAATTTGTTACCGGCTATTTAAACAAAATATCGAATTCGAAAGTTATTTTGATATTTTAGAAACCAACGAAATAGTAGAACTCTGCAAGTTTAGGACAACAAATCATAAGCTACCTATTGAACAAGAAGATGGCAAAATATCCAATGTGAAAAAAGAATATGCACATTATGCGACTTGAATGAAATTGGTGACGAATTTCATTACATTATGTCATGCAGGAAATTTGCCAACATCCGAAATTTATTTATTCAAGAAAAATGTTCAAAACGTCCAAATACACTTAATTTAGTAATCTTATGACCTGCAAAAGAAAATCAATACTTTCGAAACTCTGGAAATTTATTAAAATTGTTAGTAAAGGGTTGTGTGATCCGGGCTGACATCTCTCTCACACATGTTGATTTGTTGATTTGTTATTAATATTATGTGTTCTCTGTACCATTCCAATGTAAATGGTTTATTGAGAAATAAAGATATATAAGGATCAAGTTCATATGGATCGTATTTAATTTTGCGTGCTTTATAAACAACATAACCGTAATAATTAGGAAGTAAAATCCAGTTTTTGATAAAAAAAAAAAATCAAAAAAAATCATGTACAGTCATACTTCAAAACCTAATCTTTGTATCTATGGGTGAATTTAGTAAAAGTTTAAGTAATTTATGATAACGAAATGCCTGCCTTAAAAGTCATGTGATACTTCAAATCTAACCAAAAAGTTGAATATGTTTTATATACTTCAGTGGCTAAGTTTTACATAGACTTTCTTTTAAAAGAAAATCCTTTTTTCTATCCATATCGTCATTAATGTACTGCTATTGGATTATTGTCTTCCCGAACTATAATTTGCCGACAGCTTTACCGTATGCAGTAGTGACCTTAACTATGACACCTCGGCAATCGAACAGCGCAAGTACGGGAGAAAAACCGTGATGACAGAAAAAGTCTCTACAACGTAACAGGGGTCAAAGGAACATCGCCGTTTAAAAAAGGAAAATTAACAATAGGAAACGAAAAATCATCTTTTAAGTCATAAATTAGTCCCATGTCGTTAATTTGTATTTTGATTTATATATCCAAATCTAAAACTAGACAACGATTGTTCTTTATATTAGATTGAGTTAAAGGAAGTTCCATTGGGTAAATTTCAGCAGTATAATTAGAATATCATCAAGATAACGATTAATGTTATTAAGTTTAAAAATAAAACAAAATTTTGACTTTTCTTTACTGAGTTTGACTAAGAATTGATCAATTGTGATTTTATTTATCAATATATTGTACAGCATTTGCCATCTTCCAAGTCCATAATACACGATCCTATGGTTAAATCGAGTAGTTCTATTTTCAATGATGGTACTTCGGCGGAATTTTAATATGGCTACTACTTACTTACTTAATGATACTTAATGATGTTTTCCGGTACAGGATCCTCAAGGTTCCTCTTCACCAGACTCATATATTGAATTGTTGTCTCTATTATTTCTGTTGCTGCTTCCGGTTATTTCAGCTCGATAATCAGAATAATTGATTTCTTCGTATTCCCAGTAATTATCTAATCTATTTTTAAATGCATTTATAGATGGCGCTTTTGTTACTTTATCTGGTAACTTGTTCCATAATTTGGCAATTCTTACTGCAAAGCTGTTTTTCCTCAGACTTGTTTTAAATCTTTGGTGAATAATTTTGTTGCTATTAACTCTTGTGCTATGCCTATTTTCGGTGTTTGAAATTAATTTGAGAAATGTACTAGTTTCTGGATCATATTTTCCGTTAAGTATCTTATATGTCTCAATCATGTCCCCTCGGACCCTTCTATATGACAATGTTAGCAGCTCAAGTTTTTTTCAGTCTTTCCGGGTAACTTAATTTGTTGAATCCAGGTATCTGGCGTGTTGCCCTTTTTTGTACATTTTCAATTTTGTCAATGAATTTCTTTTTGAAAGGTGCCCATACTGAACTAGCATAGTCTAAGTGTGTTCTCACTAATGTTTTATATAGTGGTATGAAGATCTTTGCATTTAAATTTTTAAATGTTCTTCTGATTGCCGCAAAGATTGAATTAGCTTTGTTAACTTTTCCGATTATGTGTTTTTCAAAGGTTAAATCTTCATCTATAACTACTCCAATATCCTTCTCTTCTTTGCATTTGATAATATCATGACCTAATAGATTATAAGTTGTGCTGTCATCTCTTACCCCTCTGCTTATATTTATATATTTACATTTTTTTGGGTGGAATTTCAATAGCCATGTATCACTTCATTGCTCAAAATTTTTTAAGTCGTTTTGAAGTATAACTTGGTCTGATTTGTTTTCAATAATTTTGAAAATTTTGGTGTCGTCCACAAATAAGTAGGCATCAGATGTGACGCAGTCAGGCAAGTCGTTTATGTATAGAACAAATAACAGGGGGCCTAGTACTGAGCCTTGGGGTATTCCAGATGTTACATCTTTCCACTCTGATGTTTTCCCATTCACTGAAACTCGTTGTTTTCTATCAGACAGAAAATTAGTTATCCAGTCTAGGATTGGAT